AACGTACAAACCAAACATACAGTCAGCTTATTCGGATCAACAACTTATTTGGATCAGATGTTTATCAGTAAATTATCAATAACTGTAGCTGCCACAAACATAACCTAAATCATCACAATACTCTCCAAGGGAGAGATTGTAAAAATGCCCGGCAAGAATAGATTATATAGAAATTGACTTATATACCACATAATTTCAAAGTATTGACATATATAACAACTAAAGTTCAATATTTACATTTGCAAAATTTTGGTATTAAATATTTATGTATGAAAAAGTGTATTTTTAATTTTAATAAATTAGTGAAAGTGATGTTGCTAATCTAATGTCAAGAATACGTATGCATGCATATATGCATGTCTGTATGTATGTATGTAGATTCTCAAACTCTGATGCACAACAACTTGCTTTTAGTGCAGAACTCACGTGTTGCTTTCGGTGCAAGGACAATTCGCACCGGCAGCGGTGCATTCACATGCAGTTAAATTCAAAATTTAAAGTTTAACATTAATTGAAGCCAGATATGGGTTAAGCTAAAAATATTTCTAATCAATTTTCAGCTGATGCACATAAATATATCGATTTTATATTTTCTAATTATATATGTGTGAATATATGTATGTATGTATATATGTGTGTTTTGTGTACATATATATATATATATATATATATATAATATATGTGTGTGTGTATAAATATAGATTTAGGGCTGTCAAAACAACTCGTTGTTCGTGAACAATGAGTATTTGGCTTGCTCGCTTAGTTAACAAGCCGAACAGGATCAAAGATTTGTTCGTTTGTGTTTGGATCGTTTTAGCTCGAAATACTACTCATCAATTATATATATATATATATATATATTCCAAAAGGCTACATAGGTGTACTCAATGAGTATTACCCGGTAGCAATGCATTGAAACAAAAACATGTGGTTACATGATAAAGGAAAAAGAGAAGGTAACGTGTGTGTGTGTGTGTGGTATATATACAAACAAGTATAAATATAAATATATATATTCCTTTTTACATAGCATGAAGATGAGGGATGGCCAAACTATCCCCAAGTAAAAGAAAAGATAAATGAGAAGAAGGAGAATTTTCAACTGTAATTTGTTGAGTGTTCCTCCCCATGGAAGCCAACTAATGTGCGGGACCATTACCTTCTCTTTGAGTATGGTTAAATTTCACCCTTCCACTGTTTAAAAAGTGTTGTAATTTGTTCAACCACCTGAGAATATACCAAGGAGGAGCTTCTTCTTTCAGCAGTATCCTGATACAAGTAATGGAGTCGAATTCTACTATCAAATGACTTATCTGACTGTGATAAGCAAAAGTGATAGCCCAATAGATTGCTATCATCTCAATCTCCAAAGCATCATAAGCCCAAGTTGGAGAAGAGAAATATAGAATGCACTTCCCCTGGGAGTTTCTAAAAATTCCCCCAAAACCTGTTGAATCCCTGGTATAGTTTTCATCTGTGTTCACTTTCAACCAATCTGATGGAGGAGAGGTCCATAGAATTGAAGCTGGCTTGAAGCTCTACTGAATTTTAGTACTTGGCATCTAATTTTTAAATAGATTAGGGAAACGCTGGTGTTGAATAATTTTCTTAATATAAGAAGTGCAGCTGAAAACCACAGACTTGACCAATGACTTTAGATCCTCATACTTGGCTTTATTTCTACTCATCCAAATAAACCATGTAACCAAACAGGGAATAACCAGTAGATTAGCTTCTCTCCAGTCCCACCAGCAAAAGGAAAACTTATCCTAGCACACTTTAAAAGTATCAACTTTGAGCTGTGTCAACAGTCCATACCAAATCCTTTGAGAGAATCCACATGTAAAAAATAGGTGCTCTAAAGTCTCTTCCTCAGCATTACATAGATAGCAGCATGAGGGTCCCCTCAGGTCTTTCATTTTCAAGATATCATCAGTAGGAAGCAAAGATAATCACAACCTCCAGCAGAAAAAAGACATTGAAGGTGTTAACCACTTACCCTAAATGGCTTTCCCCCACATAACAGGTTGCCAATGGAAGAACTTTTGATAAATATATGTTGAAAGTTTATATGAGGAATATTGTTTTGTAATGAGTATGTCCTTTGATCAGTAGAGAAGGAAGTATTCTTCACCAGCTGAATCTGCTCACTGTTAAGAATAGTGTGCAGCAATATGTAATTCCACTGGTCTTCAGACAAGTAATCTTTCTCTGAGATTGATAATTGGGGTTTGAGGTGGAACAAATAAGCTTCTCTCCATTCCAAACCCACTTATTTAACCTGAAATTAATTTGCCCTTCTCCTAATTCTCTATTAAAAGCTCCTCAGCTTGATTTTTGATTTCCAAGAGTTTAGACCATATCCTGGAATCACCCAATTTTTTAATGGCAAGAGTTGGATGTACAGACCTGCAATACTTCCCCATCATATACTGAGCCAAAAGGCTGTCCTGGGCCCTAAATTTTATCCATAACTTGCACAAATTTATAAAGCTTAAGTGGTGGAAATCCTTAAAACCCAACCCCCCAGCAAGAAGAGGCTTACAGAGTTTCTTCCGAGAGAGCCAATGGAATTGTTTCTTCTGTCCAGCCCACTGGAATTTGTTAAAAATTCTTCCCAAGAGAACTTGAGTACCTTTCTTCATGGTAAACATTTGGAGGGCATAAGAAGGGATGACAGTCAAGATGCTTTTAAAAGGAGTGATTCTCCCCCCATTAGAAAGAAAAGAATTTGTCCAACAGCGGAGTTGGGCTTTAATTTGATCAATCACTGTATTAAATTGAGTTTGCTTTGTTCTACCTTTGAGTAACTGTACTCCAAGGTACTTGATTGGCAAAGCAGGAACTGTACTCCAAGGTACTTGATTGGCAAAGAAGCAGCGTACTTGATTGGCAAAGCAGGCTAAACCCTGTATACTGGGAAATCCAATGTTTGATCTGTGGTGTAATGTAAGTACTAATGGAGTAATATTAGTGCTAGCAAAAACTTGACATTTTTGTTTGTTTAATTCCATACCTGAAGCATGCTGAAAATGTTTGAGTCCCTGGTATAAAGCCTTGATAGCAGTCTTTACACCATTGGAGAAGATAATAATATCATCTGCATAGGACAGGTGACTAATACAAATATTAGATTTGTGTTGGTAAGCCAAATGAGGAGAGGTAGCAAACATATTGTTTAGAAGCCTTGAGAAATAATCCATAGCTAGTATAAAGACATACATACACACAACACACACACACACACACACACACATACATACATACAAACATACACACATACATACATACATACATACATACATATATACATACATACATAAATACATACATACATACATACAAAAATACATACATACATACATATATAGTAGATGTATATATTTATATCTATATATTTATCTATGTATCTAATATGTATAAATGAGTCTAATTGGACTTATATACCAAGCTCAAGTGCCATGGAATTTCATTGCGCACATAAGTGGGATTGAACCAAAGAGTCGTGGTAGACTATATATATATCTTTGTGTGTGTGTGTGTATTATATAATTGTATACACCAACAGACTCACAAACCCACCAAACAACACATATCTCAATTTTAAGTTAATGCAAATAATTACATCAATTTATATTTTTATAATTTTTAATCAAGATTATGTGTGCATGCTTTTATGTTGTGTATACACGCACACAAAAACTTGATAAGTTTGGGGTGATTTGTCAAACTGATAAATTAGTCCATAAGTCAATTTGGAATAAGTCGAATTAGACTCATTGACCCATGAAACCTAGCTCCTTGAACTTCATCTCTGCAAAATATTTCTGAAATGCTTCAAGCTCTAACAGAGCCCTAGCCAACATATAAGATGAAAAGATTAGTGTGTCGTATATGCTCAACAACACTGGTAGCTTCTTAAGGTGAGTTGGGACATTATAGTTTACCATGCCAAAATGAATATCATAGCTCTTATTTAGAGCTGGTGGAACATGTGTTTTCTTAACATCCAAAGTAATGATACTCTTCCCCTTATCTTAGGTACTGGGCCTCCTTAGCTCTTTGCAGAACTATTCTACCACTCCTTTTAGAAGGAAACAAAGAATGAAAAATGTACATGTTGCTTGACCAAACAAAGTGAATAAAATTGTAGAATGAAACAAAGAATGAAAAATGTAGCAAGTCATGAATGTAAGCTTCATTAAGCTAAACTAAATAAAGACATTATAATCACCAATCTTATATTTCATACTTTAAGCCTCTTGCTTTATACATGGTAATACACAATGTATTTTTAATTTTATTTTGCAAAAAAAAAGAAAAGAAAGTGTATTTATTTATTTGTGATTTAAATTTAGAGTACCCAATACCTTCTAACTATTAAACCACATGTTATCCATCTAATGATATCAATACCCTTACTATTATTATTATTATTATTATTTTATCAAAACCCTAACTTAATAATCAGCTAACTATCAATATATTTTGTTATTTACAAATCTTTATTCATAGTACTTGAGCACCCTTTTGATAGATACCATCCATGAAGGACATTCTATCCCTAGAAAGCCTATATTGGATCAAATTATTTTCAATTTCTATTAAAAAAAAATTAAAATGACAACTTCCATAATTATAGTTATATTAAAGCCCATTAAAAACTGTACTCATCAAGCTGAATCTCTCCTTCTAAATTATAAGAGCATAACAAATTTATATTTTGCCATTAAGCATGGCAGAAAGCAAGATATTGGATTGGACAAGCTGCAACAAATTTATATTTTGCCATTAAGCATGGCAGAAAACAAGTTATTGGACAAGCTGTCTTATGAAAGCACAAATGAAGCAAAAGGAAGTCATATCAAAATAATTGTCAGAAAATTAGTTTTTGATGTAGCTTAAAGATTATGTATGTAAATGAAATTTTCAAAACAAGTTCCTAATAATTTACAGTATTAGGTAAAAAGCTAAATCAAATAAGCCATTGGAGTTTAGTATGATATCTGCTCCTCAAAAAGCATTTTCTCAATGTCCCAACATCAACATCAGCTGTTAACTTAAAACGCAATAGCATCTCCACATTAAAACATTACAGCAGAACGAAATATCAATCATCATAATATGATAATAATAAGAACAGATCTCAAAATATAAAGCTAAAAGAAAAACTCCAAGAACTCTATTGGACAACAATATGGTTTCTTCTCATCAATTGGTAGCGGACAATTGCTTTGCTTGCTGCTTCTGCTTTGCACCAACTGCAAAGAACTCTGTGATAACCTCAAGGGGCATTCCCTTAGTCTCAGGAACCTTGAGGAAGACAAAGATGAATGCGAAAACACAAACGACCGTGTAAATCCCAAAGAGACCAGCGAGGCCGATGCTGTCGAGCATCACAGGCAGGGAGTATGTCACTATGATGTCCCCGATCCAGAAAACGAGAGCACAGATAGCAATGCAGACACCGCGGACCCTGGTGGGGAAAATCTCCGAGCAAAGAATGTTGGGAATTGGGCCAAATCCCATGACAAAGCAGCAGAAATACGTGATGACGCTAATTGTAGAGAGAACGGCATGAAGTACCATCCCAAGTTCCAGCAGATTAGCTATGATCAGGACGAGGAGCGAGCAAATCAGGATAGGGATGGTGGAGAGAAGTAGAAACCTGCATGGGAGGGAAAGCAGGATTGTTATTCTACCCAATACACAGGAACACTTTGGCCAACTTGTTTCATATTAATTGTTTGGAAGTGATTGGAGGGAGTTCCTTGTGTGATTTCTATTAAAGTGAGTTGTACACATTTTTAACTCTTTATTTCATCGGAACACACTTATTAAGAATTTTGATTCTATATGTTCGTTGGGCAATTATAAGTTTAATTTAACCCGACGTTTCATTAATTGTGTGAACATACATACCACGCTATTCATTAATTGTGTGAACATACATACCACGCTATTCTTAAGTATAAACATTTAATACCTAAAATAGCACCAGCAGCAACAACGATGACAACAACAACAAAGCCTTAATTTCACTATTTGATACCAAAAAGCATTGCATAAAATACACCACTAGTATTATTTAATAAATAAAACACATATTTTCATGTATATGTTTTGATATGTTTATGAAACTAAATACTATATAAGAAAATATCAAAATTTAGGTGTGAGAAATGAAGATATATAAGAATTGCATAGTATGCATCTAAATCACTTGACATTATTAAATGCTATAACTACTATTATTAGAGAAGAGTAATATGCTAATTCTTCATCTCATTAAATTTATATTATTTAATTTATTATTATATTTAATAATTCAATCTCACCCATCACTTTTATGAAAGTAAATTTCAAAAAACCAAAACTTGCTTTCTCTCGAATACCATCATACAAATGTTTCTAATATGTTTAATGAATCACTTACGAATGCTTGCTTACCTTAAAACAAATAAAGCCCAAAAGTCAGAATAAATGCACAAAAAAAGTCTAGACAGAAGACAAATATATGTTCAATTTTATGACATGCGTAGAATACAAATTTGTTAAGTGTAGTTAGGCAAGGTTTGAGCTTGCAAATAAATAATGCAAATTAGAAAAATATGAGTGAATATGAATGGTGATAAACCTTCTCCCAGATATATCCATTAATCTCATAGCAAGGCCGATTGAAGGAAGCATCAGCAGGGTAGTAAGAGAGCTGATGAGGATAGACGACGAATCAGAGCCAAGTCCAAAGTTTTTGAGGAGCACTTCGACACCTGCTTGTTCAAGAATCTGGGGGGTGTAATACAGAACACCGTTTATGCCTGAGAACTGCAGGACGAAAAGAAATCAGCATAGAAGGATGGAAGAAAAATTGTCTCTGAAAGAACAATAAAAAAAAAGGAAACTCTCAATCTGCCATTCAAGTTTCCACTGCAAATTCTATGAAAATCCCAATACATTAAAAACCTGTGAAGGTTTAATAGCCGGTAAAATTCAGGATATGGAAAATATAAAGAATGGAGCTCTCCACTGCAAATTCTATGAAAATCCCAATACATTAAGAACCTGTGAAGGTTTAATAGCATGCATGAGTTTAAACAATGCAAGGAACAACCGTTCAACAAAATTACTTAATGTCCAAGAATTCTACGAAATTCAGCCAGAAGATACTACTCCATAAGTCTTGAATAACATTAATACATTTCCTCGAATTCTTGAATGCCTGCAACCTATTCGACAAAATGAAAGAACATAAAAGCCTCCTATTTAATCAGAACATAAGTTAAAATATAAAACAAGGAGTACATACCAAAACATTACTTTGTGTCCAGGAACTTTTAAATGTGATTGACGAGAATGATTGAATGAAAGAAGCCGCATGGAGGTTGGTTGAGCGGAAGCTATCAAAGGAGGGTCGATGTGCTCGATCAAGTGGAAAAAGTTGCAAGGAATAAAAAAATTAGGGCCAAGTCTTCTCTACTGCTGTGGGCACAGACAAGAGTAGATTGCCTAGAGTTTAATAAACCGGATATCCTAACATTGCTAGGCTGATCTACTGAACAAAAGCTTGCTTGAAGGCGCATTAAGATGTGCTTCATATAACTACAGCAGAGCACTTCTCATACAAAACGAGACTTACTGCACAATTTCCATGCAAATGTGAAGCAAAGCAGAACCACAATGCTTTGTGCGAGAAGAGCACTTTAAAACGCACATTTAAAAATATCGCACACTACATAAGTCATCAAATAACCATCACCTAAAGTCGACTGATGAAGCTGAATTATTTTGGACAACTACTTAAGTCCTCGATCAAGCTCAATGAATTAATACACGCCCAGGACAGCTATTAAAACACAAGCCTTGGCTGACGCACAATTGGAGGCACATAAAAAAAGCAAATACAAGGACGATATACTTTAGTTATTATACGCAAATGAATTCTCAAGCGACAGGAGTTGGAATTGAAATATCCTTAAAGAGCACAACAAAAGTTCTATTAGTAAATGCAGTGTTGCAACCCAAATTAACCTCTCAAATATAAATAAACAGGCCAGATACAAAGCTTTGATAATTAACTTAAAATTGTAGCCGGAGTCATAGCCAAGCATCTACAAGTATATTAAGACTCAATTTAGGGTCAATCAAATCGAAGGACTTTATAAAGCAAGAGAAGCACGTTGCAAAAGTACTTCCTTTGAAACTAAAGTAAAAAAGGATAAATTTGAATCCTTTAAAATTGAGTAAGTCTCAAGAGAACAAAAGCAACTGACTAACATGATCTAAGAAACTAGGAATCAAGACGACAAATCTATTATAGAGCTTGCTCGAACCACAATTGACAAAGAAGTCATGGAAGACAACATCCTAGTCGACCCAACATGGCTCAACTCACTTATTCATTATTTGAAGTCTGGCACCATCTCACCTACTATCAAAGATCTAAGAAGACTAAGATCAAAACCACCCTTTATACGCTCATAAATGACAACTTTGCCCTACATAAGGTGTGTATGCAAAAAGAAAATCACACTTATCATTAAAGACGTGCTCACGCAAATGTAGTAGACACTAAAGAGATCTAACATCAACCAACTGAATACAAATGCACGTCTATTTATAGCCAGATATTCATAAAGACATAGAGTACTTCCCTAATAGATGCCTACGATGCCATAAAGTCACTCCCATATATAGCTTCAACCATCGTACAACTTACAGTTAATTCCAAGTCCTTGGTCATTCATCATTTAAGGCAACGATTTACTTAACCTGCTTCTGCCGTACAACTTACAGTTAATTCCAAGTCCTTGGTCATTTATCATTTAAGGCAACGATTTACTTAACCTGCAATCCAAAGGACATAATAAGTTTATAAAATTCATAATTGATTACCATACAATATGGATAAAAATCAAAGTGCTCAACAAAATGACTTCAAATATAGTTTGAAATTTTATTTCTACGTATCATTTGCCATCACGGAGTATCCCATGTGATCACCATCATCAACAATCATCTGTTCTCTAACAAGACTCTCAAGGACTTGATCCCAAGTGAGAAAATGATGGACAAGTATTATAAAGAATCCAATAAGGAGGATCTAAAGTCTATACTAAGCTTATTATATATTCAAATTTAATTAGTAAAGAAAAAAATGTTTGAGACAATGATGGTCAAGTTTTATAATGCTAACATCGAATAAATAAATTATATATTGGCAACTTAATTCAAAAGAAAGTCAACGCTACACCAATCTGCACTCAATAAACTCATATCAACTTGAGGCATGTCATATATCAAGAGGAATTTCAACTTATCTTTCTCTCTCTCACAAAGATTTGTCTTTTGCCTCTTCCTAATATTTGCTATCAAAGAATCCTTGCAGATATTTGGTTTTCCCATCATAGCCCCCATCTTTCCCAATTGCTATTAAGAAAGAAAACGAGGACACCAAGGCTTTGTAAGGATCTCCATGAAATGAGAAGGAATATTTATTAGGAAGAAAGGAGTTGTTAAATGTAATGACATTGTTTACGTACAAAAATTATTTATTATCATTCACTTATGCTTTTCGCACTTGCCTTCAAAATATATAAGAGAAATGAAAAACTAAATGTACAGCAAAAATTACTAAGGGTGGAACCACCAAGGGAGAGGACTCGCCAAGCTGAGGACTGACTTGCTAACTGAGCTCAAGTTCGACTCGCCAGCTAGGTCCTAAAAGGACTCGCTAAGCTTGGTTTAAGATGATCTCATTAGTCGAACTGAAGTAAAACTCACCAATCTAGTTCACAAACGCTCACCCGCCCAAGCCTAGGATAGCCAAGCACAAGAAAAGATCATCAAACATGCTCATAATAACTCACTAACAGGCTATAATGAATTCGCCATAACAACACAATGCAGGCATCACCCAAGCAGAAAGAGTGATACAATAACTACCAACAAAAAAGCCAGTAACTTCTCAGTTTGACAATAGACTATGAGTTTGTTCGGGGCAGCTGCAGCTTATCAAAAAACTGCTACCGCTTAGCTGCCACAGGAAGTTGCCGCAAAGGA